ATGTTGCTTCTGCCCACGTGGTCCTTGTAGAGCCCTGCACAGGGGATGCGTGTGTGCGTGTGTGTAGAGTGCAACGCATGTCGAGTGTGCATCCACACGTGTGGTATGTTTGTAAGTCCCTCTGGGTGTGGAGTGTGTGTCTCACATGCACGTGCGTACGTTGTGTAAGTACTGTGTGTGGTTGGCAGATGGGTATGCACGTGCCGTGTATTGTCTATTCTGTGCACACGTGTATGCGTGTGTGGTGTGTACATGTGTGTGAGGATGCAAGGGTCTGCACGTACCCGCGGCATGTGTGATGTGTGTATTGCGTGCATGCATGTGTGTGCAATCTGGTGCCGGCACACATGTGACGTGGCCCTATAGACGTGCATGTGTGAAGTGCGTGGTGCTGTGGGGAGCCCTCCAGGGTTGCAATGCCATCAGCTTCTGACCCTGCACTCATGGGAGGCTGCCTGGTCTGCTGGGCCCCCCAGCACGGAGTCCTCTCAGGCTACACCAAGTGGGGCTCTGTGCACCTGGAAAGGTGGGCCTCCAGTGGGGGTTCAGTCCCCAGGGGCTCCATGGCCTTCGGAGTGTCAAACTGAAACATGTAATGCATTCCCAAAAGTATAAGGAACAATATAGCCAGCACCCATATCCCCCTCTCCAGCTTCAGGAAGAGGATGTTGCTGATGCGCTTATAGCTTGTCCCTGCTGTCACACCCCGCCATCTTTGCGGGCTTTCAAAAGCCCCTGCAGGCCCCTGGATAAACTGACCAGTTCCTAAGCCGTCTGCCGCCTTCCTTTGCCTGTAAGGCGGGGACATGACAGTATCAAGCCTCGGGTACCCAGCACACGTTTATGGAGCACCTACTGTGTGCCAAGCACTGCCTCGGGCCTGGGGGACACAGCAGAGAGCGAAACAGACGAGGGTACCTACACTTGGAGGGTGTACATCCTGGTGAGTCTGGGGGAAGAGTGAATTAGGAATATGTGCTTCGCTCCTAGAAGAGCCCCTGGCAGGTGGTAAGTGCTCCATGAGTGTGGGCTGCTGTTACCAGTATGAATATTAGCATTGATATTGCTGAGAGGAGGCCGAGCGCAGTGGCTCACACCTGTAATCCCAGCACTTTGGGAGGCCGAGACAGGCAGATCACCTGAGGTCAGGAGTTCAAGACCTAGCCTGACCAACATGGAGAAACCTTGTTTCTACTAAAAATACAAAATTAGCTGGGCTTGGTGGCGCATGCCTGTAATCCCAGCTACTCGGGAGGCTGAGACGGGAGAATCACTTGAAGGAAGAAGGCAGAGGTTGTAGTAAGCCGAGATCGCACCACTGCACTCCAGCCTGGGCAACAAGACCGAAACTGTCTCAAAAAATATATGTGTGTGTGTGTGTGTGTGTGTGTGTACACACATATACTGCTGAGAGGTCACGACTGGCCAGGGCAGACCCTGGGCCCCAGACCACTGCACCCCCAGATACAGGGGGCTGTGCCCTGGAACCACGCCCCATACAGTGGGACCTGCCAAGTCACACTCAGCAGCCCCTGAGCAGGCCCGGCGCAAACACAGGGGCCTCCTGTAGGGACCTTGTGTCACAGCCACACGGAGCTACTGACTGCCGACACCTGCGTCCCTGCCACGACACTGGCACCACGAATCAGTAATGCTCCTTCTTTCAAAGTCAAGAAAACAGGCAGTGACCGCCAGAGGCCCCACGGGCCCTCCCTGCCCTGCCGGGGTTTGGGATCATCAAAGAGATGGGCAAACAGGACATGTGGGCTCTGGGCAAGGGAGGCTGTGTGTCTGTGTATGATTGTGCATGTATGTTGTGTGTTTGTGTGTGTGCATAACTGTGTGTCTGTTTCTGGGTATGATTGTGTGTGATTGTGCATGTGTGTTGTGTGTTTATGTGTGGGTGTGTTTCTGTGTATGATTTTATATGTGTGGTTTTACGTCTGTGTGAGTCGTGTGTTTCTGTGTACTGTGTGTGGTTTTGCGTATGTCTGTGTGTGTGTCTGTGGTCGTGTATATGTTGCGTGGATGTCTTTGTGTGTGTCTCTGCATGTCGCTGTATGTCCGTGTGTTGCGTGTATGTCTCTGCGTGTAGTTTTGTGTTGTGTGGGTCTGTGTGGTTGTGAGCCTGTGTATGTTGCATATGTGTGTGTTGTGTGTGGTTGTGTTCCTGTGAAATACATGCATCTGTGTATAAGTGTGTGTATGTTGCATGTATCTGCGTGTCTGTGTGTTGTGTCTGCATTGTGTGTCTCTGTATGTGTTGTGTGTCTGTGTCTCTGTGTGGTGTGTGTGTCTGTATGTGGTTGTGTCTGTGTGGTATGTGTGTCTCTGTGTGTGATATGTGTGTCTGTGTGTGGTGTGTGTCTCTGTGATGTGTGTGGTGTGTCCGTCTGTGTGTGATGTGTGTGGTGTGTGCCTCTGTCTATGTGTCTTTGTGTTATTGTGTGTATGTTTTGTCTGTGATTGTTTGCATGTGGTATGTGTGTCTCTGCATGTGGTTGTGTGTGATGTGTGTCTGTGTGTGGTGTCTGTGTCTCTGTGACTGGATCTTGTATCTCTGTATGTGATTGTGCCTGTGTGTGTTGTGTCTGTGTGTGATTGTGTTTGTGTGTGGTGTGTCTCTGTATGTGGTTGTGTGTGTGGTGTGTATCTGTGTGTGGTGTGTGTATCTCTGTGTGTGTGTTGTATCTCTATGCGATTGTGTCTGTGTCTGTGATTGTGTGTGTGTGTGTGTCTATGTGTCTGTGTGTGATTGTGGGTCTGTGTGTGGTGTCTGTGTCTCTGTGACTGTGTATCTTGTATCTCTGTATGTGATTGTGCCTGTGTGTGTTGTGTCTGTGTGTGATTGTGTTTGTGTGTGGTGTGTCTCTGTATGTGGTTGTGTATGTGGTGTGTATCTGTGTGTGGTGTGTGTGTCTCTATGTATGTTGTATCTCTTTATGCGATTGTGTCTGTGTCTATGTGATTGTGTGTGTGTGTGTATGTGTCTGTGTGTGATTGTGGGTCTGTGTCTGTGTGTGTGCCTGGAAGGGGTCAGAGCAGAGACCTGGCTCTGACCTTGCAAATCTCTGTGTGTGAGGGGAGGGAGCCGGAGAGGTTGGTTTGAGCACCCACATCAGTGCAGGTGCAGATCCAGAGACCCCACCCGTGAAGACCTCCTCGTGGAGACCAAACCACGAAGGCCAAATCAGAGGACATGGTGCTGGGGCCCGCAGCTTGGGCTTTCTGAGGCCGGGGTGGGTGGGCAGCTGAGTGGGCGCAGTGTGGGGAGGAGCAGTGGGCCCCCGCCCTGCAGGAGAGGGAGTGAGGCCAATGTCATGCATTATTCAGCGGCTCCTGATTTCACATTCTTCTCCCTGATACTTTTACAACCTGTCAGTAAATAAAAAGATTCTACATTATTTATAGAAATGGAGCAGAATTGGCCAGGAAGATTTAGTACTGCTATTATTAGGGAGTATCCGGGCCATCAGAATGGGTGGGGTGGGTGGGGCACCGGGGGCAGCAGCAGAGGGACAAAAATGCTGCTGCCCCAGGGGGTCTGAGCTCAGGAGCCGTTTGGGCTCGATGACCCCAAGAGGGGACACAGTTGCCTCCCTTGGGGCACCTCCTGCAAAGTCAGGCTTCAGGAGACAGGAGAACAAGCTGGCCCAGAGGGGTCCGGAGGGCCGGGTGGAGGCAGGGGGCTCCTACCTGCTGGGCAGCCCATACGGGTGGGGGCCACTGACTGCCGAGGCCAGGGTGGGCTCCCCAGGCTGGGCCAAGGGGATGAGGCCCAAACGAGGCAGATGTAAGAGCGTCTAGGCCGGGCGCGGTGGCTCAGGCCTGTAATCCCAGCACTTTGGGAGGCTGAGGCAGGCAGATCATGAGGTCAAGAGATCAAGACCATCGTGGTCAACATGGTGAAACCCCGTCTCTACCAAAAATAGAAAAATTAGCTGGCATGGTGGTGTGCGTGTCTGTAGTCCCAGCTACCCAGGAGGCTGAGGCAGAAGAATCGCTTGAACCGGGGAGGTAGAGGTTGCAGTGAACCGAGATTGTGCCACTGCGTTCCGGCCTGGGCAACAGAGCGAGAGTCTTTTAAAAAAAAAAAAAAAAAGCTTCTAACTGCTGCTGTTTATTGAGCACCTGGTGTGTACACACCACGCTGCACGCGGGTTACTGGGGTTGACACCCGTCCACACTGCTGTGTGGGGGAAGGGTGGAGAGCAGTGTTTCTCAATCTGGGTGCCACCATTCCTGGCGGGAGTTTTTTAACGTGTGCTTTCCGTGTTCCCAGCCATCTAACTGTGCCTGACGTGAGCGCGTGCAGGTGACAGGGCGGCTCTGCTGTGAGCGGGACGTCCGGGGAGTCCAGGGCTGCGTCTGCAGGTGCGGCCCAGCGTTCGGAGCTCACCCTGTTGCCGGCATTGGGCTCCGTGCCTGGTTTTCAGAACCGGAGCCCAGAGACGTTGGAGGCCCGATACCTCCTCACAAGACTTTCTGTGCCTGAGTTTGAGCCACTGGCCCAGAGAGGTTCACATCCTGTGCTTTTGTCCCAGAGTGCAGCGTGCAGCACACTCTGGGTGCCTGCGGTGTCTGGGATGAGTCCGTGGGAACCTTGCGGCCTGGCGGGGCGGGGGGGGGGGGGGGGAGGTGAGCCGGCGGTGGGGGGGAGGGGGGGAGGTGAGCCGGCGGGGGGAGGCGGGGGGGGGGAGAGGTGAGCCGGCGGGGGGAGGCGGGGGGGGGGGAGGTGAGCCGGCGGGGGGAGGCGGGGGGGGGGAGAGGTGAGCCGGCGGGGGGTGCGGGGAGAGGTGAGCCGGCGGCGGGGGGGGGGGGGGCGGGGAGAGGGTGAGCCTGCGGGGGGGGGAGGGTGAGCCGACGGGGGGGGGGGGAACTGAGCCGGCGGGGGGGGGGGTGGGCCCAAGCTGGTGGCGGGGGCGGTGAGCCGGCGAGGGGGCTGAGCCGGCAGGGGCGGGTGAGCCGGCGGGGGTGAATCGGTGCAGCCTGTCCACAGGGCCTTGGCGTTTTCCATCCTGAACTCAAGATGCTGAGGAGCTCGGGGGAGAGGCGTCGCCGGGGGGGATGGCTGGTTGGAGGAGCTGCCAGGAAGAGGACGTGAGAGCCTGGGAGGAGGAGGTCTGCAGAAGGGAGGGCACAACCTCCGTGGGACTGAGCCATCAGCAAAGGTCACCGTGGTTTCCCTCAGGGCCGGGGCCAGGCTGATTCCAAAGCTGAGGCTGGAGACAGGGAAGAGCGGACCCAGAGAGAGCCGCCTGCCAGCCACGTGGAGCCAGGGCTGGGAAATCACAGGGCAGTTCTTCAAAGAAAGGGTACCAGGGGTGCAGCACGGGGCCTCCCAGTCACCCAGCTGCCCAAGGCCATAATCCTAGCATTTCGGGAGGCTGAGGTGGGAGGATCACTTGAGCCCAGGAGTCTAAGACCAGCCTGGGCAACATACTGAAGCCCTGTCACTACCAAAATACACAGGTTGTCCGGGTGTGGAGGTGCGCTCCTGTTGTCCCAGTGACTTGGGAGGCTGGGGTGGATCACCTGAGGCGGGGAGGTGGAGGCTGCAGTGAGCTGTGATTGTGCCACTGCACATCAGCCTGGGCGACTGAGAAAGACCCTGACTCAAAAAAAAAATTGTCCCAAAACTTCATGGCTCCAGACGCCATTTATCATCCCACAGTGTGTGTGGGTCAGGGATCCAGGGACTGGCTCAGCCGGGCCTCCTGGGCATCATCTTTCTCTAGCTGAAGGCTTGGCTGGGAAGGAGCCACTCTTAAGCCCTCTCCCGTGGCTGCTGGGGGAACTCCGTTCCTTCAGTTCCTTGCCAGATGCTGGCTGGAAGCCATGCTGAGCTCACCACAGGGGTCCTTTGCTATCAGGCAAGCCAGGGGGTGGGAGAGGGCAAGAGAGGGCACCGGAGGTGGAAGCCACGGTCTGTAACCGACCCAGGAAGTGAGGCCCTCACCTGTGCCATGTTCTGTTCATTAGGGGCAAGTTGCCAGGTCCAGCCCACACTTAAAGAGCTGGGGCCACCCAGGGATGTGATCACCAGGAGGTGCGGTCACTGGGGGCTTCATCAAAACTGCCCCCAATACTGGGTGCTCAGGGAATGAGGGTTTCTTGGTCAGTTAAGTTTGTTAATGAATGTGCCTTGCGACTCTTCAAGGAAAGGATAAAATTGGCATCGTAGGTGGGCGTGCTGGCTCGCACCTGTAATCCCAGTACTTTGGGAGGCTAAGGTGGGAGGATCTTGAGCCCGGGAGTCTGAGACCAGGCTGGGCAACATAGTAACACCTTGTCTGTACAAGAATCAAAAACAAGAGAACAAAATTAGCTGGGTATGGTAGCATATGCATGCAGTTCCAGTTATTCGGGAGGCTGAGAGGGGAGGATCTCTTGAGCCTGGGAGATGGAGGCTGCAGTGAGCTGTGATCCTGCCACCGCACTCTAGCCCAGGTGACAGAGTGAGACCCTGTCTCAAAAAATAAAAATAAAAACAGAAATGTCTTCTGCCACAGTCTGGAGGCCAGAAGTCCAGTGTCAGGGTGTGGGCAGGGCTGCCCCCCTGCAGAGGCTCCTGGAAGGCCCTTTCCTGCCTCTCCCAGCTCTGGGGCTCTGGCTTCCCAGGCTTGTGACCACTCACTGCAGCCTCCCTCTCTGCGCCATTCTCACTGGGCCTCTCCCCTGTGTGTGTCACAGCTCCCTCTGTCCACCTCTGAGAAACTGGCTTTGATTGTCCTCAGGACGCCCTGGATAATCCTCACTGTGACACTCAGGACCCCCTGGATAATCCTCATAACCTCTCCAGTGCAGTCTTGGATTTAATCACACCTGCAAACACCCTCACCTTTTTGCCATAAAAGCCACCTTCACAGGTCCCAGGGATGAGGACAGGGACATCTTTTTGAGGGGACCATGATTCAGTCCACCCCAGGCCCTGTGTGACTCCACTGACCACGTGTCCATGAAGCCACCAGCCTGGGTGCCTGTTCAGTTGCAGGTTTTAACATGGAGCCTTTGATGCCCACTCAGGAAGGCCTGGCTTCAGGAAGGTTCTTTGCTGCTGCTGGAGGGGCCGTCCCACCGAGCCCCTGCTGCTCTGCTTGCGTCTTGACTGTTTCCAGGCCGAGCGCCCTGTTCTATTTCAAAGCCCATGTGTTTTCTCACACCCTGCAACAAGCACCGTGAAAGTGCCGCTCCCATCTGGGCAGCAGCCACCGCCGGTGAGGTCGAGGCAGTGGGGCCAAGGGACCCCCATCTCCCATGAGAGTATGGGACATGGGAACGAGGTGGATTGAGGCTTGGGATGCCAGGAGCTGAGGAGCTTGGAGCACTTTACCCAAGACGAAGGCAGGGCCACGGAGGGGGTTCCAGGAGGGACGAGCTGTCTGAAGATGCGGAGATTGATGGCACCGTCTTCCCCAGCTGTGGCCCCCAAGCATGGCAGCCCGCCCTCTTGGGTGAGTGTGGAGCACCGTCTTCCATTGCTAGTGTCACTCACAGCTTCAGGTGGCAAAGGCTGAGGGTGGGCCTCAGGTCCTGGTGGTCTCCAAACTTCCTCTGATCGTGTCAGTAAAATCGTGTTTAGTGCACGCTTCCCGAATGGACGTATTTACTTAGGTATCAATTACATACATGTACCACTACACACATGCACCACTACATACATGTACAACCACACACATGCCACTACATACATGTACCACCACACACTTGCCACTACATACATGTACCACTGACCTAGCAGACTGTACCTTATGAAACTGACCCCCCATACAACAGTTCAGAAAGGGGGTGAAGAATTTCACATTAATGCTTAGTCCCAGAACCTCCAGGGCATGGGGGTGATGTGGTTAGATTGTGTGTCACCACCCAAACCCCGCAGTGAATTGTAATCCCCAGCTTTTCAGAGAGACCTGGAGGAGGTGATTGGATCATAGGGGTGGGTTTCCCCCTGCTGTTCTCATGACAGTGAGTTCTCGAGAGATCCGATGGTTTTATAAGACGCTGTTCCCCTGTGCGTGGCACTTCTTCCTGCCGCCTTGTGAAGAGGGTGTCTTCCACCATGATTGTACGTTTCCTGAGGCCTCCCAGCCTGCAGAACTGTGAATCCATTAAACCTCTTTCCTTTGTAAATAACCCAGTCTCAGGCAGTTCTTTATAGCAGTGTGAGAACAGACTCACACGGAGGGTGTGGACAGCTGGCACTCCCTCGTGGACCCATGCTCCCCTTCCACGCCATGGTTCTGTGGGACCAGGAATCAAGGTAGACGCACAGCAGGGAGGGGGCATTTAGGGGACTCACTCGGAAACCTCAGATGCTTTCGAGCGCTGGGAAAGCTGGTATCTTGGGAACTGCACCGCTTGCTAAATGACTGCCATAGTCAGCTGTTTCTCCAGTTTTTATGTTGGCGCCCCAGATGCAGGCTGTGTGTACGTCTTCCCACGGTGCTCACCCTTTCTCCACATGCACGTCTCTCGTATTTTCTATTCTGTTTTGTGCCGTGGGAAAAGACTGCTGACCCATAGAATGACATTGCAACGCCCTCGTGGGTCCCGGCGCCCATGCTCGGAGACACGGGTGTGAGGGCTTGTGCCCTGGGGCTTCGGAGAAGGGAGACAGCATTGTAATTCTCATATACAGAGACATTAGCCTGACTTTGATTGATTGATTGATTGATTGATTGATTGATTGAGATGGAGTCTTGCTCTGTCATCCAGGCTGCAGTGCAGTGGTGCCATCTCAGCTCACTGCAACCTCCGCCTCCTGGGTTCAAGTGATTCTCCTGCCTCAGCCTCCTGAGTAGCTGGGATTACAGGCACCTGCCACCGTGCCTGGCTAATTTCTGTATTTTTAGTAGAGATGGGGTTTCACTATGTTGGCCAGGCTGGTCTTACACTCCTGACCTCAGGCGATCCACCTGCCTTGGCCTCCCAAATTACTGGGATTACAGGTATGAGCCACCACACCCAGCCTAATTTTATTTTTATTTATTTTCTTTTGAGACAGGATCTGTTGCCTAGGCTAGAGGGCAGTGGTATACCCATAGCTCACTGCAGCCTCTTCCTCTTGGGGTCAAGCCATCCTCCTGCCTCGGCCCCCCGAGTAGCTGGGACTTTGGGTGAGCACCACCATGCTAATTTGTGTATTTGTTTTAGAGACAGGAGTCTCACTATTTTGCCCAGGCTGGTCTCGAACCCCTGTACTCAAGTGGTCCTCCTGCCTTGGCCTCTCAAAGTATTGGGATTGCAGGCGTGAGTCACTGCATCTGGCCAGGACTTAATTTTATATTTGTGTATCTCGTTTTCTCATCTTTTGGGTTCCCCTGGGGAGGGAGTGTGTCCTCTTCCTTTTCATGTCTACAGAGGACCTGCAACAGACGGAGTGCTAAATGGGATATGATGATGATGATGATGAATGAATGAATGAATGACTACATGATGAATCTGTCACTGGTGGCTTCCAGGTGCTGAGGGGGTCCTGGGGTTTGCCACAGCAAACTTGTCATCCTAGAGATGCAGAGCCGGCAAACCGGGTCCTCAACCTGGGCTCCCTGGCTCTGCTCCCCACAGGCGAGGCAGATGGCCGCCTTCTAAGCCCCCGTCCCCTGCCAGCCAGGGCAGTGAGCAAACCCTTCTACAGCAGCTGGCCTCTGCTGACCCCGTGATCGGGGTCTGCTCTGTTTGGAAGAAGATTCACGCCCCGCGCAGTTGTCGGCCCCACAGCAGAGCCGGGAGGGTGGGAGGGGCAGCCCGGGTTGGCCTCCAGAACTGAACGGCTTGTTCCCCCTGTCCTGAAGGTGCTGGCTGCCAGGCTGGCAGTGACAGTTTTATTGGCAGGCCGGCCTGCTAGAAGGATTGTAGGCTATTTACAGTGTTGAGGCCATGGCTTTGCAGGGAGACAGTTAACATAAATTCACATGATGGATCCGTTATCACTTCATTGAACTTGTGGCAGACCCATCGAAGGCCGAGCAATAACACACTGTTTCCTGGGTTTGCACAGCCCTGGGATACATTAAATACACTTTATTTATGGCTCGCCATCGCAGCGCTGTGGGCAGGAGAATGCAGCTTTTGCGACTATCGTCTAATTTTATGATGAGCATTAAAGCCGGGCCTATAATTTGCACCTTTTTATTCATTAGACAGTGGTGCAGCCATAAGTCAAACAGGCCCAGGGATTCAGATGCAGATACAGAAGATAAACTATTGACAAGCCAGATGTATTTTTACATTAGAGCGCCTTTACAATAGTTTATGTTGAGAGTGGAATATAAATTGCGTTATTAAATATGAACCGCTCTTGGAACCCGGCTCACCAGCGTGCTGCAGGAGGGAGGGGCCCGGGGCCGGGAGCTGGGAGGGGCTGCCTAATTTCTCAAGGTTGAATGTGTAATTCTGCTCTGTGGAGTTTCTCCATTCACAGTGCTCAAGTGGGAGCAAGACGGGAGAGGGCGGGGCCAGGGGTTCGGAGCAGCTCCTCCTGAGCAGGTGAGAGTCCAGTGGGCAGTGCTTTCTGCCCAGCTCCTTCCGGGAAGGAGCGCCATTCCCTGCCAGGCGGGATGGGGTGTGCCCTTGGCCTCTGTGTTCGCCCTCAGGGGGGTCCCAGGTTGAGGGTGGCAACGTGTGGGGCCCCCCAGACTTGCAGGGGGCCCATCACACTCTGTACATTTCAGCAGCCTACATTGTAAGTTACTCTGTACCTTTCAGCAGCCTACATTGTAGCTTTTCTTGCTAAGAGTTTGATGGGAACCCAAGAGTCCCTGGCAGAATCCACTTCGGTGGAATTACAGGTTCCCTGGGCCACGGCTGACTTGGAGGCCCAAGAACTTGCACAGAGACGGAGGCTTCTCAACCTTAGCCCTGTGTTTTGTTTTTTTTTTTTTTTTTTTGAGGCAGGGTCTCGCTCTGTCCCGAAGCCTGGAGTGCAGTGGCACGATCATGGCTCTCTGCAGCTGCAACCTCCCAGGCTCAGATCATACTCCCATCCCAGCCTCCTGAGTGGGAATACAGGCACACGCCACCATGCCCATCTAATTGTTCTGTAATTTTTGTAGAGATCACGTTTCGCCATGGTTTGCCCAGGCTGGTCTCAAACTTATGGGTTCAGTCGATCCACCTGCCTTGGCCTCCTAAAATGTTCAGATGACAGGTGTGAGCCCCCACGCCTGGCAGCCCTGTGGGTATTTGGGTGAGATAATTTTGGGTGGGTGGGGCCGTCCTGTGCACTGTTGGGTGCCTCAACCCCACGAGCTGCCCGTAGCACTCACTCCCGAGTTGTAACAACCACAACATCTTTAGACATTGCCAGATGTCCCCTGGGGGCACCATCACCCCTGGTTGACCACGATACTACCTGTCAGGTTGCTTGTTTGCACTGGAAGACCTGCGTTCAGGTGTAGCTCAGCCCCTTGGCCTCTGTGTTCTCCCTGCAACCTGGAAGGGGTCAGAGCACACGGTTTCTGACTCCCTCTGGCTCTAAGTGCGTATGGCTTTAGAAGGGCCGTCCAGGTGTGTGTCCAGCACAGCGGTAGGAAGCTCACCTCTGCCACTGCCTCCAGAGTGTCTGCATCCATGGGTTAGGTGGCTCTGTTCCCCTGTGTGCGGCCCAGGCCACTTCAGCGGTCAGATGTCCCTGAGTATGGAAGGCTGGGGCCCAAGGCCAGGGGGAGTGGAAGGGGCACTGGGTCCCAGCTATTCCCAGGGCTAAGCAGAGGATCTCAGCGTCCCAGGGTGTCAGCCTCCCCCGAAGAATGCGTTACAATCCCGACAGCTGAGATGCATCCCCAGCGTGGGTCTGGGGCAGGGCTAGAGGCTGCATTTCTAACAATGCCACCGCTAGCCCGAAGGCCACATTGGAGTCACCATGCCAGATAGAGGCAGGTTGGGGAAATGTGCTTGGGAAGCATGCTGAGAAGTCTTTTTAGCTGCCTTGAAGCCAGTAACATGCAAGGTCACAGAGGTGGGGCTAAAAGGTCCAACCTTCAAGGTACAGGACCCCAGGGCAACCCC